AGCCTTACTATTGTCTCCTCTAAGCACACGAGGATCATACCCTGTTGCAAGTAGACATTCACCACTTCTCATACCTATTCAACCAGTCCATTTCTGGCAGCTTATGTAAGTCAGGAAGGGCACGTGTCTAGAAGATGAGTGGTAGCCTTCAACTCTCCAAGGGTCCTGTCTACATCATCAGGCTGGAAAAACTGAACGCTGTCCATTAACACAGGGCAAGCAGGGGCATAGTTACATCCATAGGAGCTGTATCAACTACAGCATGCAAGTCAGAGCAGTTCTGGGCAATTTTGCCATGCAAAGTGCCATGCAAATTCTTCACAGTAAGAAGACCACAGTATTGTCTACATTATCTCCTTCAGTGGGCCATGATGTCATAGTCCCTTGACCACTCAAAAGAGCTCTGTTCCTGCCACCACTTCTATGGAATGGGCCTTCCAATGTGCCCTAGCCTGTGTTCAGTCAGGTACACTCCTAAATGGTCCAGCATCATTGCTCTAGTCTCTGCCCCACATGTTTCATCATTACCTGCTTCCTGGTAAACCGGGAGGAGGGCAGTTTGACTCTACTTCATGGGAGGGTGCACTTTGGCGTAATCATGTTAATCGCACTACTCATTTCTCCATTCCAGATATCAACTAGGGCTTCAGCATAATTGCCTGCCAAGGTGACAGGAAACCACAAGAGCCATCAGGAAACCATTTGGATCCATCCAGCACAATCCAAAATGCTGTTTTTAACCTATAAAGCCCTAAATGGCCTGGGTCCAAGCTATCTCAAAGACCATATCTCCCATTATGAGTCGGCTTGGGTGTTAAAGATAATCAAGAGAGTCCTTTCTCTTGGTCCCATCACCTTCACAGGTGCACTTGGTGGGGACATGGCAGAGGGCTTTCTCTGTTTTTGCTCCCAGATTTTGGAATTCCCTCCCACAGGAGGCCAGATTGGCCCCATATTTGCTGCCCTTCTTCAAGCAAGCTTTCCCTCAGTGACTGGTTACATGAGTGTGACTTTTAGGCACATTGTTATGCATTACTTCTCTGACTGGGTCTTTACTACTACTCGTGTTTACCATCTCTCAGAGTGGAATTTGTTTGTTCCTTTTTAATATTTGTATACTTGCTCTTTTAGCTTTAATATTGTCTTTTAATGATGTAAGCTGCCTCTTCATACTCATTGTTGTTAGCTTTAAATATTGTGTTTCAAGGATGTGAGCTGCCTTGTGTCCTTTTTAAGAAGAACGGAGGGAAAATAGATAAATAAATGAACAAAATAAATGTTCTCTGCTTGGGTTGATGGAGCAGGAGATCTTTGGTTTACCATCAGGACATACCTTTGCTTTGAAATTGTTGTATCACTAAAATGGTTAGAGAAGTCAGAGGAAAATATCAAGACAGAGAGCACTGTCTGGGGTAGAAATGGATGAAAGTTTGCAACATCGAACCTTGTCTAGTCTATGTTGCTATGAGGGGCGGGAATCAGCAGAAAACAACAGAATATTCAGAGAGGCAAGGGAAGAGTGGTAAGGAGGACAAGGGAAGAGTGGTAAGTCTCATTTTGGAGCGCTAGAAAATGTCTTCTGGTGGGAAGTCAGTTTTTCCCCACTAGAGATACTGAGTGCCTGAGGATTAATCACTTTATCTCACTGATGCTCAACCTGTATATTTGCCAGTGAACAAACACACTGCAAGACATGTTATCTCACAAAGGGAACCAACCCTTCATACTCAACAAATTCTTGTTGCTGAGGGAATGGAGTGAGCATAACAACGTAATAAAGAAAATATACAGAGTGATCTACATGAACCCTACCAATCACCAAAGTAAAATTATCCAAGCCTGCTTTAGAGAGGAAGGGTGTATGCTATTTTCCCTGTGAACTTTCAGTGGATCAGCTGAAGAGAAATAGGTTTTAAGGTCTTTTTGCTGCAGCTGACAAGCCATTAATCAACTCTGATTGCCCTCATCAACTGGTAATTTTCATCATTCTCAGCATTGTTTATAGACTCAGGTACATTTACTCCAGCTGCAGAATTTTTGTTTAGAAAGCAGGAATGAGAGGACTTTGGTGGGAACACAGTGATTCCGCGGGCAGCACCCCCGGTTTTTCAAAAAGGCATTGAAAACTTCAGTTCCACAGTTTTCAATGTAATGGCACCAAATTGCATTTGAATGAATGGTACTTTTTAGTTACGAAACAGAAAAAGCAAGAAAAGAGTTCATTGTATGAACATTGTTCATGACAATGTTATATTATTAAAATTCTGATGTAAAGCAAAGACAAAGAAAAATAAGCCAGTATTAAATGTGTAGTTAAAATTGAAGTTAAATATGACCAATAATGTTTTTATTATCTGAGTAATCTGTGATAATCTATGATACAGTTGGGTGGATAGATCAGTGGTTTAGGTATTTGCCTGCGGAACCAGAGGTCGGAAGTTTGATTCCCTACTGTGCCTCCTGTGAATACAGCCAGCCTGTGTTGCCTTGGGCTAGCTGCACAGTTCCAGGATCCCTCTAAAGCAGTGGTCCCCAACCTCTTCTGAACCGTGGACCAGTTTGGGAGGGTGGGGTCTGTGCATGGGGGACATGCCCCCATGCCCGTGGGTGGGCAGGGCATGCTTGCGGATGGGCGGGCCCCACTCATGCACATGTATGGATGGGTGGGGTACGCTCACAGGTGGGTGGGGCCCGTTCACACGCATGCACGGATGGGCAGGATACGCTCACGGGTGGGTGGGCCATGCAAGCAGGGTGGGGGCGGGAGATCTGTCTCAGCAGCCCGGTCCTGCCAAGGCCACAGCCCGATAGGTGGGGTATGCTCACAGGGGGGTGGGGCCCGTTCACACGCATGCACAGATGGGCAGGATGTGCTCGCGGGTGGGTGGGCCATGCAAGCAGGGTGGGGGCGGGAGATCTGTCTCAGCAGCCCGGTCCTGCCAAGGCCACAGCCCGCCACTGGGCCACGGACCAAGGGTTGGGGACCCCTGTTCTGGAGAAAAGGAATGTTAAACCACTTCTTTATTTTATTTTTTTATTACACTTTTATCCCGCCCTTCTAGACAATGTCTACTCAGAGTATACTTCCAACTATTTTGTACCTGAAAAAAAAAAACACCAAAAAGGGGCACCATAACTCAGAACTGACTTGACCACGGATGATATAAATCTATGATATAATCTTTGAATAATATTTGGTTACAGACATAAAGCATACAAGTATAAACTGTAACTAGGAAACTAATTAAATTCAGATCCAATACGGTGACACATAGTCACCCAAGAGTTTTTAAGAAGTTAACCAGGGAGCTTTTTTTTAAAAAAATGTTCAGTATAAGAAACAGTGACTCAAGTCCTCGATTTTTCCCAGGATTAACCCTTAAATTAATATGTATAATTTAAATCTTAAATTAATATGTATAGTTGCCATCCTCTCAAATGGCAGTATTCAGCTGATGAATTCTGATGAATGTATGTTCTTAGAGTGAGGAGATTCTTTAAAGTTAGGAGAAAAGTGGACTTGTGGAAATGATTCTGCACAGCATACCAGGGTGCTGCTAAAAAATTCAGCTCCAATTCAAAATCACTCTTGCTGAATGGATTTTGAAGCCTTACCTTAATCTCATAGCCTCTATGGGGCAATCTATGAAACAGACAAAGGAACAAATTTAAATGATTTATTAATTCATCTGAATTGACATACCAAAAGACCACCTGGGATATTTCATTTTATTGCATTTCACTGTATCTTATTTTGTGTTTCAGAGGAAGAGAAAGATGACTATGACAGAAAGTCTAAAAAAATGGCAGGTGCCCAAAATATAAGTTGTAAGCAAGCATAGCAAAACAGTAGAATGTGCAGAATGTTAGATGGAGTGGAAGTTAAAACAAGGCACTTTTTCTGATTTTCTCCTTCTTTTAATCATATTTGGTGGTTCCCAATTCAGCAGCAGTGAATTCTACTACTAAATTTCAACATGTTGTGGGGGAGGCTTGGGTTACATGCAAGCAGGGGGGTACATCTAGAATATGGGTTGTGTGTTGCTCACTTCTGAGGCAGGAAAGTAGAAGGTGGTTCTAAGGAGAGCAATGAAAACTAATACTCTGGACTAGAGATGGGCATGAACTGGAAAACTGGTGGTTCATGATGGTTCATAGCTAACCACAAACTATGAACCATACAGGCTGTTAACTAATACACTCTGCTTCAAAAGCCCAAGCAGAGAAGAGAATGAATGAAAATGGCAGATGGCAGATAGAAAATAACCTTGGATAATAAGGCATTCAGGAAGAGAGCTATACTGGGTGGGGAGTGGAGTTTAGCCCTTTCCTTCTGTGTGAATGCAATCATAGGTTTCCTTTGTCACTTCCCACCAAATATGTTGAGGGCGGCTCTCAAGACTGTGTCTGCCTTAACACCAAAGGAGTGTCAACAAATTAGAAACTATTATTATAGCAGAGTGTCAAGCTAGACCAAGTGAACAAATTATGGCCCTCCTGAAGTTGTTGGACAATAACTCCCCTCAGCCCTAGCTGGCAAAGCCAATAATGAGAGATTATGGGAGTTATATCACAAAAACATTTGGAAGGCATCTTGTTGCCCACCCCTGTCTTAAAGTCTGAGAATCCTTATTGCACATAAAACTAGGGCTTGGTGTCATCCCCATTCTGATAACAACTCAGTTGAAAATACACTCCCACATGTATTTTTCTTAAAGCCCAATTTAAGGCCAAAAATTCCTTTTTGTGCTGTTTTGTGCCAGCACCCTCTGACAACAGTTGTGATGAGGAACTGGCTGCTGTCAAAGTTCAATTGTGAATCTTGGCCAGCAAAGCAAAGACACCCAGTAAATGTTCCCAACCCTTTAAAAAAAAACCACCACAACATTTATATCTGCCTTTTCTCTCAAGGTTCTTAAGGCTGTATGTGAAAGAACATATTTTTACCCTCATAACTCTGTGAGAATGGTTAAGACTGAAAGACAGTACAGTATCTGGCCCAAGGTCACTCAGTGAGCTTTATGGTCAAGGAGAGATTAGAGTCAAAATCTCCTCAGTCAACTCTACCAACCAACTCACTACATCATGCTGGTGCCCTCATTTCCAGAGACAGAGGAGGGCTCTGTCGAATCCTTAGGAAATGAGTTTTTCATAAAGTTGAAGTCGAAGGATGATGTACTATGATTAAAAAGAACTCTCTTTGTAGCAGATAATACCATGGGACCACTGAAATCTTTTTAACAGCAGCCTCCCTTATCAGTGGGAACATTCTGTGCTTTAACTTGAAGACACTGTTTTTCTTTTCTAAATGGAAATAAAAGCCTCTCTACCCTTTTGCCGATCATTATTGCCCTTGTCATCCTCAGGAGTGCTTAGTTGGCACAGGAAATATTTTTATGTCTGGAAAAAAAGAGAGAGAAGTATTTCTTATGCATGGGGTGTGTTTAGCAGAGATTTTGTTTTGTCCTGATGTAAACAAGAACTGTTGCATTTCTAGACAGATATTCCTCCCATCAATGCAACAGGGATTTGCTATATGATTAAAATTAATGGCAACTGGGCACCACAACCCCCTTGGGGAATCTTAAAACTCTCAGCTGTGTGCCTTATAGTACAGTATCATTTGAAGGCATCCCCAAAGAGCAGTACAATCATAGTGAAATTAAAGGTTAATCTGTCTTTCAGAGTCAAAGTAGTTAAAAGAGGGAGAAGCTGTTCCCTTTAAGCAGAGCTGGGCAGAACAGATAATTCAACACAACTGTTTGTGATTTATTTCTGTACATTAATTAGCTTTATAATTTTGATGGAGACAGAGGTTATATTAAATGTGGAGAAAGAAACCAACCCTATCCAGATATTTGGGAACTGCATATTCTGAATATGTGTATCATGGGGGCTGCTATCCTTACCACCAGTACCCACCTTTGCCATTTTGAGGGTTCTGTTGCAAAACAGAGCATTTGTATGCCTAAATTGCATGCAAATGGACCTTGTACCTGTACTTTGGGACAGAGCTTGGCAAAGTTACTTTGCGTAGATAAGATCACCCATAATTCCAGTCACTGTCCTGCTAGGGAATCCTGGGAAATGTAATTTCATAGAATCATAGAATAATTGAGTTGGAAGGGGCCTATATGACCATTGAGTCCAACTGCCTGCCCAATGCAAGCCAACCCTCTGCTCAAAAGTTACTTAAAAAGTAACTTTTCCAAGCCTTGACCTGAGAACTTGCTTGGGTCCCATTCATGTCAAGAAGGCTTATACAAGGCAAGTACAACTTATAGGAAGTTTTAGACAGTATAGAAGAGCATCGAGTCATTCAGCAAGATGCTGCTATAACTTTTCTATAATATAATTCCGCTATAAATAAAGCAAAGCAAACGTGTGCTGCTTATATACTACCTCGTAGCACTTAAAACACTCTCTGGGCTGTTTGCAACTTAATTATGCAGGCTACACATGGCCCCACTCCCCAGTGAGCTAATGTGCTGCTTATATACTATCTCATAGCACTTAAAACACTCTCTGGGCAGTTTGCAACTTAATTATGCAGGCTACACATGGCCCCACTCCCCAGTGAGCTAGATACTCAATTCGCTGACCTTGGAAGGATGGAAACCTGAGTCCAGGATTGGACTGCAGTTTAACATCTGCTGAACGAGGCTCCTCTGATGTATGGCTGTTACATCATATCAATGAGGTTGCATTGTCCGTTTATTGTTGGCCACATGTTCTTATGAATCAGATCTGCCAGGACAAGCAAATACACTCCTTGAATTACTACTATACCTGTCCACAGTTCTGCATACCTGACTCCCACTGTGATGTTCCAAGATACAGTGGGGTCTTGACTTGAGAACTTAATCCGTATTGGAAGGCGGTTCTCAAGTCAAAAAGTCTGTAAGTCAAGTCTCCATTGATCTACAGTGCATTGAAAACCGATTAATCCCGTAACAGGCCGTTTTTGTTCCATTTTGGTTTTTTTCTGGTCTGTAAGTCAAATCTCAGTCTGCAAGTCAAACCTAAATTTTGCCTACTATACCTGTCCACAGGTTCTGCATACCTTGACTCCTGACTCCCACTGTGATGTTCCAAGATAAGTAAGCTCCTTTCCACACATACTTTACTTTGGGGGAGTTGTCTCACTTCTCCAGGGGATTGGTTTGGCCTACATCTTGATTAGAGATGTGAAGAAATTTCAACAGACTCTTACAGCTTGACAAAAGGCTGTATCAGCAGGGTGACAGCCTGTTGAAGATTCTCCAGCCACCGTTGGAAAGTGCATCTCCATTGTAAAAGCTCAACAAATGATTTTTGGCCTTTTTTCCTTGCATTTTGTGCAAAACGCAGCAGTGCAGACACACATACACACAAAGAAACAGGCTGCCTCATCACAGCCATAGAAGAAAATGTTCAGTGCTACTATATTTACTAACTTATGCAAGAGACAAGATATACAACATATTTCTAATAAACATTTTTGGAATGGCATAAAAATGATTATTGTGCATGGATAAAATCTTTCCAAGACCAGTGGGAGGGGGGGGAATTCTTGTCTTGAGATGAGGAAAATATTTTCCTGTTTTCTCATTTGCTGTGGAAGAATTAACCAGGTCAGGATTTACATCTCTAATATTGAAGTTTTACATCACTATGTTTTTATGTAAGGTAAAACATAATAAACGTTGTATTTTTCTATCCTAGCCCCTGCCTGCTTTCTCCTGTCCTTACTAGTCAGTGCAACCTGAACCCTTTGTCCATCCAGTTGATTGGCTGATCGACAATGCTCTGAGCCAATGACAGAACTCCTGGGGGGGGGCTTGTCAGTCAGGCTTGCCGCTGTTGCTGCTTTTTTGGTTCATCTAACTCTATACAGAGATTGATAGCCAATTCAGCAAGCCAAGCATCCTATTATCGTTCTTGAATATGTGTGACAGCTAAGCATGTGGCTGTCGCAATTGCCTCAGAATGACCACCTGAAATTCCTGATTTCGGGTCATTTTGCTGTCCCTGTAAAATACACAACCTTCCCTTGTATTATTTTAGGAAGCTATTCTCCCTTTAAAGATGAGCTTTCAATGTGGCCACCTGCAGCTTCTTTTCCAGTTTCTTTTCTTCACCTCATTTTAGACAATCACAGAATAGAAAACAGAGCAGCGTGGCTTCACAAAAAGCTCAGAGGCGACCTGAAAATAAAAAAAAGAACACATATGAGAAGAGGAAGGAATGCTAGGCCACAAAGGAAGAGTACAGACAAGAAGCAAAGAATTGCAGAGATGGTGTTAGGAAGGCACAAGCTGAGGATGAGATGAGATTAGCAAGAGACACTAAAAAGAACAACAAAAATATCTTCAGATATGTGTGTAGCAAAAGGCAGAGAAAATAAACAGTGTCTCAGCTACTCAATGAAGATGGGAAAATGGTAACAGAAGACAAAGAAAAGGAAGTGTTCAATTTCTCCTTTAGCTTAGTCTTTTCCGAAAATGCAATCTATGACTTCCAGGCGAATACACGTGGTGGGAATGGGGACAGGATTGCAGCCTGAGAGTGATAAACAAATAGTCAAGGCATACCTTATAACTTTGAACTAGTTCAGATCTGCATCCAAGAGTATTAAACAAACTGGCTGAAGAACTGTCAGGCCACTATCTATTGTTTTCTTGAAATCACAGAGAATGGGTGAAGTACTGGATGATTGGAGGAGGGCTAAGGTCCCCATTTTCAAAGAGGGTGAAAAGGAGGAGCCTAGGAAGTATAGACCAGTCAGTCTGACAGGGAAAATTCTAGAGCAGATTATAAAGCAGCCACTCTGTAAGTACCTTGAAAAAAAATGCAATAATATCTAGGAGCCAATACTGTAAAAATGCAATAATATCTAGGAGCCAATACGGATTGGTCAAGAACAAACCTTGTCAGATTAACCTTATTTCATTTTTTGATCAAGTAACCTGCCTGGCACACAGTGGGAATGCTGTAGATGTAATATATTTTGACGCTAGCAAAGCTTTTGACAAAGCACCCCATGATAATCTGTTCAGCAAGCTAATGAGGTGTAGTCTGGATAGAACACTTGTCATGTGGGTACACAGTTGGTCACAGAATCATACTTAAAGAATGCTTATCAATGACTCCTTCTCAAACTGGGAGAAGATAACAAGTGGCAGTACCACAAGGCTCAGTCCAGTTCTCGTCAACATTTTTATTAATGACTTGGATGAAGGACTGCAGGAAATGTTTATCAGATTTGTGGGTGATACATAATTGGGCAGAGTAGCTTATAGCTTGGAAAAGTGAAACAGCCTTTTAAAAAGATCTTGATAGGCTCAAGCACTGGGCTGAAAATAAAGAAATGAAATTTAACAGAAATAGGTGCAAAGTTTTACACCAGGGAGCCAAGTGCAATCAGGGGATCCAAGTGCAGTTACAAGATGGAGGATACTTGGCTCAGTAATTCTATGAGCAAGAAAGATCTTGGAATTTTTGTAGATCTCAAGCTGAATCTGAGCCAACAGTAGGATGCTGCAGAAAAGGCCAGTGCTGTTTTAGGCTACATTAACAGAAGTATAGTCCCCAAATCCTATGAAGTACTAGTTCCCCTCTATTCAGCACTGGTTAAGCTTTATCATGAGTACTGTGTCCAGCTCTTGACATCACGGTTTAAGAAGGATGCTGACAAACTGGAAAAAGTTCAGAGAAGGGCAACAAGGATGAGCAGGAGACTGGAAATCTATAAGACTGAAAGAACTGAGCATGTTTAGCCATGAGAAGAGAAGACAGCGGGGAGATATCATAGCACTTTTCAAACACTTCAAAGATTGTCATACATTGAATGGGCAGGATCCGTTCTCAATCACTCCAGAGTGCATGCAATAATGGGCTCAAATTACAGGAAGCCAGATTTTGGTTGAATATATGAGGAAAATTAGATTTTGTTCCTGTTAGAGCAGTGTGACAATGGAATCAATTACCTCAGGTAGTGGTGAGCACTCCAACGCTGGAGGCACTCCATAGAAAATTAAACACCCATCCATCTGATATACTTTGATTTGGTTTCCTGTGTTGAGCAAGAGGTTGGACATGATGGCTTTATAAGCCCTTTCCAACTCCACTGTTCTGTTTCTAAAGTTCTATTTTTTATTAAGGGGAAGAAATTGTAGAAGGGTGTCAGCGAATTCAATAACTGCAGTAGAATTTAATTCTAGATTCATTTAATCAATACTTGGCCCATCAGATTGTAGCTGCTACCAATGGATATATGGTAAAACCGAATTATATAAAAAATGACTTGTTAAACTCCAGCCCAGTTTGAGAATATCCAAGGCTGTAACATTGCTGAGGCATGGTGCCTAGACAGGAAACTGCTAGGGATCCAATGTAAACAGTTTTTGCTTCTACAAGAAAAAGCTGGATTTCATAACTCATGTCTATTCTACCTTCTTTTTTAAAACAAAATGCTTAAAACTCATCAAACTCATATCTTGCTGTGAAGATTAATTTCAGACCTAGTGCAAGTCCCAATGTTCTAGAGCTGAAGGAATTTTCATGAGTTGCTTCCAACTCAAGTGAAATACAGGACATGACTTGATAATGTGCATTAAGCATTAAAGCGTCATGGATTACAGTACAAGATTTGGAGCTTCTCTCTGGCCTCCGGAGGATGCTGTCATGGTACATAATGTTACATTACTGGAGGACCGTGGATTCCACATGATACAATATTTACATTACTAAGCCATTGGAAACTTACCTCTGAAAATCTGTGACTTCAGCTAGCAATGAACACCGTTTTTAAAATAGTTCTTTATATTCTCCCTCTCTTTTCACCCGGCTGTTTTTTTAATTTTATATATCTTTTTTCCCCAAAAGGAACTAGTGAAGTTCAAAGGCAGCCCAACTCACTCAGAACTGCTGGAGAAGTAGTGTCTTTTGTTGTTCATACATTTGACAGCTGTGCTAAACGTTTACAAAGGGCCTTTTGTCTCTGCTATTTATACTGTCTCTTATAACATTTCTCAAACCCACACACTTGTATGATTATCAAAACTAATACTTCCTACAGCAGTTTGGATTCAATCCACAGATGAAGGAAGTCAACAGATCCCTCTTTATAGTGTGAAAAATATGAAAAATCTCTGCATCAGTGATCACATCATATCTCTAGGAGCCCACACTTGAGCTCATTTACCACTCAATGAACTGGAGAAGTGCCATCATGGAGTAGAGAGAAAGAATGCATTTGAAGAATATATCATCTTCCCCCCCAAAAGACTCTCCTTTAGAACCAACCTCACTCTCAGGAACTGCACAGGACTAGTTTTGCTTTCATGGGGTGGCAGTTTTTTCCATGCCAACCAAAGAGCACAGCTGGTTTTGCAGATTGGGGATTGGTGAAGTGGTTGATGATGTTACAAAGGCCCTGGTTTCCCATATCTAACTTAGCAATGGGTTGAACTACAGAGGGGAACCGCGTATAGAGGTTTGAGGGGAGGCTATGGGCAAGGCAAGAAGTAGCGTGTGATGCCAAGGAATGGACAAAGGAAGTAATGCTTATGGCAAAGCATGGCAAAGAAGGATAAATAGCGTGCGATGCCAAGGAATGGACAAAGGAAGGAAGTAATACTTATGGCAAAGCATGGCAAAGAAGGATAAAATAAGAAGTTGGTCACACACTGAGTTCTTATGGCCGCCTATATTTGCACATACTCACCATTTGGTAAGTGCTTTACCAGAGCCATCGAACTAGTGGAGTAAATGGGGCTTTGAGAAATGAGGAAATACAATCATTTGCTTCTGGGAAGTTACAAACTAACTTAATATTTGCTGCTGGAAGGGCACAACTTCCCCTCAGGATGAGCTCAGACGGTTGCCTCCTAGAGGCGCAATGGGGATTTAAATCCCAGCCCATTTCCACAAATAGGCACTCAAAGTTCTCTGATCTATACCAGCACTTAAGTGCATTACAAGTATCCCCATAATAAGGCATTAAGATGAAACAGATCCCTGCTCCCCACGTGGACACTTTTACTGAAGCTGTGTGCCCTGTGAACTGCTACTCATGTTTCTCCTTATACTTCAACAGGGCATTTCTCCTTCCTTCCTGTAGAGTGTGTGTACTCTAAGAACATGCTCTGGAGAACTGAGAAATTCTCTGGGGTACATTTCCAGCACCAGAGAGGGCTGAAGGGGAAAATGAAAATCCCAGTTGTAACTACTTGTTTTCTTCCTTTGCTTATGATTCAATATATCTTATTAGCTGCAAGAAACATGGTGGAAGAGCTGGCTCTGTTGACTGCTGGATGGGTGCTTGAAGAGCCTAGCCATAGTAACAGGTTGAGTTGTTAATTTAGGGCAGTGTTTGGGATGTGTGGATTGGGCACAGGCTCAAAGCATCTGAAAACTCGAGACTACCTGATGGTAGACATAACGGAAATGGGGCACATAACAGCCACCTTAGATTGAATGCATCTATTGTGTCTCACCTGAGGTGTTTAGGGCCATAGAAGAAGCATTTGCAAGTACAATATACCACAACTAAGAACAATAGCTATCTTATTTTTAAAAAAGTTAAAGAAAAACCCAGTATGCAAAATGTTGTGTATGAATAGGGGGGATGCTTTTATTGTTTTGGTGGCTATATATTAATACAGTTATTTCCAACCTTGGGTAACCAAGGTGTTGTTGGGTAACCAAGGTGTTCTTGGACTGTAGTTCCCAGAAACTCTGGCCAGCACTGCTAGTGGAGAAGGCTTCTGGGAATTCCTGGGTTATCCAAGGTTGGGAACCACTGTTTTAGTATAATTACTTCAGTTGCTTCGTATTGCAGCTGATGGAGTTGCAAAAACTAGTTGTTGTTACAATTACTTTAGTTCATCATCATAGGCATCCTTCAGTCTCGAGAGACTATGGTATCATGCTTTGCATGGAGGACTTGGAACAGCATCTAGTGTGGCTGAGAGGGCCAATTTGAGAGTGACAATCCCTTCCACACTGAGGACAAATACAGTCTGTACCCCGTCTAGCTCCCTGATTTTGCTGCTTTTGTGACTGCTTCTTTGCCTCAGCCTGCTGGACAAGGGTCTCTTCAAATTGGGAGAGGCCGTGATGCACCACATGCCTCCAGGCTGAGCACTCAGATGTCAGGGTTTCCCATCTGTTGAGATCCATTTCCAAGGCCTTCAGATCCCGCTTGCAGATGTCCTTGTATCACAGCTGTGGTCTCCCTCCGGGGCGATTTCCCTGCACTAATTCTCCATACAGGAGATCCTTTGGAATCCGACTATCAGCCATTCTTACAACATGCCTGAGCCAACGTAGACGTCGCTATTTCAGTAATGTATACATGCTACAAATTCCAGCTTGATCTAGGACTACTCTATTTGGAACTTTGTCCTGCCAGGTGATACCAAAAATGCATCAGAGGCAAAGCATATGGAAGGTGTTCAGCTCTCTCTCCTGCCATGCATGAAGGGTCCAGGACTCACTGCAGTACAGGAGTGTGCTCAGGAAACAGGCTCTATAGACCTGGATCTTGGTGTATGCCGTCAGCTTCTTATTGAACCATATTCTTTTTGTGAGTCTTGAGAACATGGTAGCTGCTTTGCCAATGCGTTTATCTTTAGTTTATCTTTAGTTTATATTTTAGTTCCTGAATAACATAATTAAAGTTTCTGAAATAAGAAGTACAAAGAGGAAGAGAAAGAATGGAAGGAAACATGTTTAAAAGACCAGTGGGTAGGAAGCATCTTTCATCATTACTACAAGATGGTAATTAAAGGTGAGGTTTCTGTATTGAAGGAACTGCAGAGAAAATGTGTTAGAGGTTGTAAGGGATGGCATGAACGGGTTTTCTGAAATGATGTGATTATGGAATTGAGAAGGTATTCTTCAGTATTTGGGGGGGAAAGTGGTATAAGGAAAGATAGTAGGCTAGGAATGGGCATGAACTGTGTGTGGTTCAGTGCTTTAGCGCTAGTAGGACAAGAAGGCCGGTGGACTAAAACATGAAGAGGTAAGGAGAAAAGTAGAGGAGGAGATTAGACAAGTGATATTCTGTAGCATGAAAGCAGAGGCTGCAAGTGGGAAAAACCAGTTGAGTGAAAGGTATGCCAGACCGTGGTCATGATGAATCAAAAGGCGCTCACAATATTTGTATACATGAAGATACACAGTAAAGCTGCCTTACACTGATGGCCCAGCTAGCTCAATGGTGAGCAAACTGTAATCTTCCAAGTATTATCAAATGGTAGTTACCAGCATCCCACATAATTGGCTGTGTTGATGAGGGCTGGTAACATCTGGAAAGCCACGGGTTGACCACCCTGATCTGGTCTGACTCTTCTCAGAGTCAGACCCTTCCAAGGTCTTCAGCAGGGATCTTTGTATCTCTGATAGCCTAGTTCTTCTTAAATGGAGATGTCCATAAGTTAGCCTAGGAGTTTCATCATGCAAAGCCTTGGTGCTCCATCACCAAGCCATGACGCCTCTCTGCTGCTCTTCTACCACTAAAGCAAATAGATGGGGACAATCTGAGGTGCTACTTTAGGCATTGTTGCTAGCCGATCTGTATTGCCGTAACAGGAATGGTTGCAAAAGTGCTTGGCGAGGCATTTGAAATATCCCCAAAGAGCAAGAGTCTTGCCTTTCACAAAGATGTAAAGAGGGAAAGTGCTCCTAGCTGTAGCTTTCTCAACCACCCTCTCCCCAGGAAACTCATTTCTGATAAACCTGGCTCTTCATTCCATGATGTATGACAAATATTTCCTCCTTGTATTTAATTAGCTCTTATGAACATTGAAACCTTGTCGCATTTGCCCAGAATCACATCTTTGCAGCTGGTTCTATCGCTTTCTTCTTGATGCCTCCCCTGAGGCAACTCCTTCAGTTATTCCTAAGAGCTTTCGCCATCCCAACTTGCTCTCTGCTTAATTCACTTTAAAGTTCATGGCTGCTCAAAACAAAATCACCATTGATGTACAACCTGCTTTAATTTCATTTTTCAGGCCTCTGCCATTTTGTGGTTTGCTAGCTTACAGTAAATCTCATGAAAATTGCCTTATAATCTTTTACCAGCTGCCACACTCCATCAACTGGGTGGTGACTTTCTAAATATTGCCCCCTCCTCTCTATTCACCAGTTTACATGGCAGTGTCAAACAGAGTCCCGGTGCAGTTCACCTTTCCTTCCTTTGCTTCCTTAATGGATTGGAAAATCATACTTTTATGTGTATCAAGGGAAGCATGAAATTCCGTTTTCTGTGAACTGGTATGCGGAGGTAATTAAAATGTATTGCTTATCATATGCTTAATGGCCAATTTTGATTAAATGGCAATGAACAGAACAGAAAAGTCACTCGAAAAAGAACAGTATGTGAATTGCAGTTGTACATTAAGTCCGTTTTGACTAGGGCCCTCTCTTTTTTCTAGCATCCAAACTTTCAGTGCACACTAGGTAGGAATCAGTGGCTAAATTACGAAAGGAACCCAGTCCATGCAGACTAGCACCGCTGGGCTTTTCTAAATGAGCAGCCTGTTATACCATTTTAATTGCCCTAGCATGTTCTGCTTGTAAACGTAGATTTGCTGACGGGAGAGCTGAAAAGGAAGTGGGGGAGGTAAAAGGTGGAGCCAAGTTGCCCCTACGGGCAGACCCACAATGCCAGTGCAGAAGAGGGCCAGCATCAAGTTAATTCTAGGCAATTTCCAGCACCCATCAGGCTGGCTTAAGCAGCCCTAATATTGTCTCAGTTGGCCCCCGGTCATTTAGACCAGTTAGGATTCCATGGTTATAAGACAATTGCATCGAAGTATGGAGTCTTCCTCTCTTCACATTGCTGAGCTTCAGCTTGCTGCAGTACAATGGATATTATCCAATGACTAACTATTTCCAGTAATATGGAGTCTACGGCACAGCCTTTACTGATTCTGCTGGCTTCTGCAGCTTTCTTGATGATGTTGTAGAAATAACCCATTCAAGATATGCACTCTCACCAGCTATATAAGAAGCAAAATGCTGAAATTTTGGGTCTCCTTCCGTGTAGCCAGGCAAACAGATAAAACAGAGGTAGTTGCAATGGCTGCTCTCTTTTAATGAAAAGCAAGCCGTGTTCTTCATTTGCCTCTATATTACCATTTATCTACATTTTGTCTCTGGGTCCAAAAAGTACCACAAATTTAATTATGGGAAGCAAATCCCATCTATTTGCAACTGCTATGAAATGCTCTGAAGATAGCACCAAGTTTAAAAATTTTAGAAGTTATTATTA